ACATTTTCTTCTCTGTTAAGTGCACATCCTTGGAACTAAAGGGGTCACAGTAGGAGAAGAGAGGTTTGATATCCTGCACCCTGTTGAAAATGTTGTTGTTTTTCATGCCGTTGAGGGCGTCCCCTCCAGCATCTGGCAGGAGAGTCCAGACCTGCGTTTGTCGTCCACAGAGGCAGTTAGACACGTGAATGATTCACGCTGGTTCACTCTGCAAATCAAGATGATGATTTACACCTCAAAATAGATGAATCTTTATTTATTTTCTCTAAATTCTTATGGATTTAATGCAATGCCTTTTTATTCTGATTTTTCTTGAATATGAGACCAACTCCGTTGAATGTGGATGCGGTTGCTTGACCCTGAGCTGAGAGCTGAGGGAGTGCATGTGGCTGTGGTGCAGAACAGACGATGCACCTGAACGCATCGCAGCAGAACATCACAAGTCCACTGTTGGGTTCTCAACTGAAAGTGAAGCATATTCTAATACTTTTGTACCGTTACGAAACCACTTTATCGGAAGTGTTGCAATAGAAAGAGTAATGTTAGTTTAGTGTTTACACATTCACTTTAGTTTATTTAATATTTAAATTAATATTTCAGTTCTACTTGTGACACTTGTCATAAGATAATGTAGTGCAAACTGTTTATCATAGTGTGTATTTTTGACATTAATCAAATCTGAAGAATATATCTTCTACAGCATTCAGGAAAACCTGTTGTCTCCTTGTTTTTGCGCCCCGCCACCCCTGATCGGGTTTCTTCTGGGTGTTTGAACTGTGGCGATACAACTTCAAACATGACATCATCACCTGCTCGTAAATGAGTCGGAGCACACCTCGCAGCCGAGAAGGTGATGTGACATGGAGTTTTGGCGAACGTACTCCATAATCCTGAACCTGTTTTCTATTATTCACACAATGATGGCTGGGGTGGGGGCAGAGGGAAGGCTGCCCCTCTGACCACCACCAGCACCTAAGTGAACATTTTTGGGTTTCAGCTACAACAAACTATGTTTCAAACTCTTCAGCTCATTCTGCTCTTTACGGGAATTACTTGGTATTCAAATATTTTATTCTTCTATTGTTCCGCTTTTTCTGCTATTTTTTACCGTTTTGAAGTACAGGTTAAATCCTTCGACTCCAAGGTTTTCACTAGTCTTTCAGCTGTTTGAACGTTAACTGCTTTGGCACACTTAAGCCTAGAGACTTCCTTCAAAGTTTAAAGCCGTCACAAGACATTGAGCTATTACCGTGTGACTCAGCTGCTTGACATCTTTTACCGTTTTCCTAAAATGACAGTTTAAATTTTAGGTACATTTTGGAAACTTTCTGAAGTTTTTCCTCCTACAAGTTTAGCCTGGCCTGCCAGACTTCTCTTGTTTAGTTCTGCACAGAGAAAGGCTCTGGGAACTCTCCTGTTCCAATAACCCCACCCCCTGAGAACCGAGCCAATCGGCGCTGAGAAGCGTACGACACACACCACGCCGAGTTTGTCGAACATGGCGACAGAAGCGGCATTCGCTGCGGCTCTTTCCTCTGGTCTAAATGACTTGGACACGTCTTTAAAACACGTAGAAGCGCTGAAAGCCTTTCTTCTAAAGAAAGGTGTTTGCACTGTCGCTAGACGCCATTTTTCACTACAGCTAAAAAACTACAGCGTCGCGCGGTACAGTCAGGATTTCCGTCTTTTTTCTGATTGGTTATTTTTAATCTGGCTAGTCCCGCCCCTCAAGTGCCGCTCTGCCTGTGAGTTACCAGGCAGAGCGGCAGGGGAATATGTCAGGTGACACGACTTTGCGCCACTTCAGACCAAGTTGGAGAACCGTAGACCCGATCAAAAGGAGACTTACACTGGGTGAAAGCTGACTGATAGCCAGCGTTTAATTTGTAAATCAAACATTCCCGAAGCGCAAATGTTGATGCCAAACCAAAGTTCACTAAAGGCAAAACAGATGCCGGAACACACGCGGGAGGGGTGGGGGGTACCTTTGTAACGTCACAAAATGGCCTGATTTTGAGAGCCACAGGTCACGATCTACAGCCAGGTCAACTTAACCTGGCTACGACACAACCTACATTATTTTCCCTCACAGGAGATTGAAAGTCTGCACGTAGTCCCTTTAAATCAGAGCCTGCCTTCCTCACACCAGCTGGAGTCGGAGCCTGACAGAGATAATAAAAGGTAAACAACAACACTCTCCTCCAAGGCCCATTACAGAGGAACTCATGAAATAAACTCGATTCACAGAAGGTCCGAAGTTTTAAAGATAATCATTAAATAAACGTTTGTTCATTGCTACTTATAATAATTATAAAACGATGAAACGTTCATTAATCTGTGCTTAATGATATATGCTTAGCATGTTTACTGGATGAGGTCATCACCATTTGCACTCACACAAGGACAGGTTAAGTTAGCACATGACACATAGTTAACCTTTTGCCCAGTTCAGAGACTCCGGGTCAAAGAGGGTGTGTCTCTGAGATTCTTGGTAATATTCTCAAACTTGTCAACTTTTGGTTGGCTACACAACCGTAACATCAATTCATTAAAACCAGATCACGCTGGTTTTGCTTCAGTTCTAGAGCAAGCTTCAGACCGGCCATCTTTAGCAAACCTCTTTAACCAGCAAGGGTTTTGACACGTCGTCAAAATCTTTTTAAACCTTTTTCGCGACGCTGATACGTTCCTGCAGAACAACGCTGATATTGTCTAGACTCCTTAAGAGTCCCAGACGCTCCAGAGACAACTCTGGACTGGAGAAGTCGGTGCTTGCGGTCAATCTGCCGGACCTGGGTGCCCCAAGGTCATCCGACCTCTCTGACTTCCGGATCCGTGACGAGGGTCATCAAAGGGTGAGGGAGAACACAGTGAGATTGTGTCTGAATGTGGTTTTGCTAATAATCTATTAACATAGCTTAACTCAAACCAAATTCTTTTTCATCCAGAACTCCGCTCTGAGATACGGAGATTCTGGCTGTTTTATATTCACACACAGGTTCCAGACACCATCCTTTAGTTTGCATCCACTCACAGTAAATAATAGTTTAAACCATTTGTCAAGTCTTAATTGTTTGTAAAATAACTATTTTTTATAAACCTGACTGTTTCTTGAATCAAAACAAAGTGTGTACAATTCCCTAATGAATAAAGAATCCTAGAATCTTCTGACTTAAACAACGACCAGGCATGGTGATGTTCTATATTTAAATAGAGTATTACAGCTTATTGGTCTCAAGTGGTGTTAATAATATAAATAGCTCTTAAAGCAATTTACATAACCCAACATACTATTTATTAACACCACACCTTCGATGGTGTCTGGTTGTTTCAACCACCAGGAACAAAAACAAACGTATTTATTTGACTATTTTTCTGTCCTGTCCATTATCTTCTGCATCTCCTCATTCACTAGAACACTGGACCAGCTCTATACCCTTAGGGGGATCCTGGAGGGTGCGTGAGAATTTGCTCAACCAGTCTACGTGTGTTTTGTGGATTTGGAGAAGGCGTTTGACTGCGTCCCTTGGGGGGCCCTGTGGGGGTACTCAAGGAGTATGGGGTACCAGGCCCTCTGATACGGGCTGTTAGGTCCCTGTATGACCGGTGTCAGAGCTCGGTCCGCATTGCCGTCAGTAAGTCAGGCTCGTTCCGGGCTAGTTCCTCGTTCGTAACCTCTATTTTTCAATTTAAGTTTATTTAAAAATCACCAAATCACAACAAGAGTCACACAGTAAACATTCCACTACAGGTCAGTGCATTAAGCCAGTCAGTAAAAAGTTTCCTATAGAAGGAACCCAGAAGGTCGCATCAAGTCACTGACTAGTGTCAGAGTCTTTACAGCAATCCTCATACTAAGCAAGCATGCAGCGACAGTGGAGAGGAAAGCTCCCTTTTAACAGGAAGAAATCTCACACACACACACCAAGTAATGTTTCTATGGTTACATTGTGATGTCTTAGTAAGTATTATGATTGGCGAGAGAAACTTTATTGTATTTATCCTAGTGGATCTATAATTAAACGGATAAACTAGTAGTAGCACATCCAACGTCAAGGAAAGCAAAAAGTTATTATCAGGAGAGAGAGAATGTTTAAGTGGTTAGCAGCATGCACCCACCATGCATATCTATGGACCGCACATGGCCCAGTTCACGGGGTGCGGGTGCACGGCAGTGGGGTCCGAACGGGAGCGCGCGTGGTGTTACGTAGTATGTTTTGAGCGGGAGCGAGCCTTAGCTCTGAGCTGGGCTGGTGTGGGTCCGGTCCAACAGGAAGTCAAAGCAACGGTCACCTTTCTAACGGTCGAGCTGTGCCTTCCTTGAACGACGTGACAGACTAGAGATGTCGGGAGATAACGAAGAAAGACAAACCACCGAGGAGACGACGACGGTGGAGGAGACGGTAAATGTGCGACGCTACCTGTAACGTTTAGCCTCTCCTGCCCGGGCGAAGCTCGCAGCACCGAGCTTTCAAACTAAACCTGCTGGGCTTGATCACCTTCTGCATCACATCGTGTTAACGCTCAGTCTGCTGGGGCCGCTGCGTGATGAATGGGGATGTCGGATTCTTAGCTAATGCTAGCTGTCATGACGTCACACTGGCTAAGCTTTGCTAAACGCTAGCGTTAGCATAGCATAGCTTAACACTAATGCCCCAGTATCTGCTTATGAAAATGTCAAACGCTTCATTTAATCTGAGAAGATAATGTTTCTGCACCGCGCATGAATGTCAACCACAAAAGGTTCATGTCCCCAAACAGCGGGAGGCTAGCGTTAGCTCCATGAATACACGCACGGAGCCCAATGAACTTCCACCAATCAGAATGGTCCCTAAAGTAGGACAGGCCTCGATGCACGGCTAGGAGGGATATTTATGGCATTTTACAAACCATGTACAACTCTTGGTTTCTCATATTTAGGTGTGTGTTCAGCCTTGATGACTATACCAAGTAAACCCGGGTTGATCCTCTGAACTCCTGACCTCTGAGGCCTCTGGAAGGCTGGTTCCAGCCAGAGCTCATGGTGGAGCATCTGCTGTGGATGGGACCAGAGATGGAGAGAGCAAGGCAGCTTTATTTCTAGAGCACATCTCAAACACGGAGGCAATTCAATGTGCTTTACAATTATCAGCACATGATATGAAAACACATAAAACACAAAGTAAAGTACACACGGATAGAATTACAGTTTAGAGCTAAAGGAGAAGACGATTACACCACAGATTACAGATTACAGAGGATGATGCAGCATAAGAAACTATTCATGTCAAGGCTGATGAGTACTTGAGGTTTTAGTTTTAAACAACTCTAGGGTTGGGGCAGATCTGAGGTCATGGGGGAGCTGATTCCATATGTGAGCAGCATAGCAGCTAAAAGCATCTCCACCATGTTTGGTTCTGACCCGAGGTTCTACCAGCTGATTGTTTCCCAGGGATCTCAGAGCCCTATTGGGTGTGTATACAGGAATGAGATCGGACATGTATTTTGGTCCCGTGCCATTGAGTGGTTTATAAACTACTAGGAGCATTTTGGCATCTATTCTGTGGTTTACTGGTAACCAGTGTAGGGATCTAAGAACAGGAGTGATGTGCTCCGTTCTCCTGGTTCTTGTTAAGACTCCAGCAGCAGCGTTCTGAACAAGCTGCAGTTGCTTCACAGCTTTTGGGAAGGCCAGTTAGGAGACCATTGCAGTAGTCCAGCCTGCTGGAGATGAACACGGGGGGGGGGGGGGGGGGGGGGATTATGACAGTCCCACCTTTATGTTAATATTGTTGATGCACTCCACTTTGAACTGCACCAATCCAGCAACTGCTGCATTTTAATAACTAGTATTAAAGGTGAATACACCAATATTTGCACAAGAATAATTTTTGTTTCAAACTCGGTGACACACTTTGCAGGGGGGGGGGGTTAATTTTTACAGAGCAGCCTCAGAATTGAGATGAAATATGTTTGACCACAATAGTAAAGGAACTATTACAGAACTAGTTGTTCAGTAAGATCAGAACATTAATGTTTAAGTGCATGAATAAATGCATCTGAACACATGCAGTAGGAACTAGGAAAGATGAAATACTACAACCATTTTAATTTGATTTAACTGATTTTTTCCTAACGTTGTTGGCATTTTCCCCACACACAGTTAAACAAAACAATGTTGATTGAGGTGTGTGTGGGAGAGGGAGAGTTAAAATAAAAATAAAAAAAATAAACCGACTGGAGCGGAGGCAGTGACCGACGCATGCACGGGCCATTTTCAGCTCTGTCTTGTCAAATGCACCACGTACGTTACGAAAAAAGTTACTTTAAAGATTCAACCGAAAGAGGCGAGCTGAAGAAAACCTAGGGAGTAATGAAGAAACGTGAGCCACAGTGAAGCAAGCACAGAGAGGTGTGTGTGTGTGTGTGTGTGTGTGTGTGTGTGTGTGTGTGTGTGTGTGTGTGTGTGTGTGTGTGTGTGTGTGTGTGTGTGTGTGTGTGTGTGTGTGTGTGGATGGATGGATGGATGGATGGATGGATGGATGGATGGATGGATGGGCTGGACGGACTGAGCTCCCGGCTGCAGTTTTGTGTGTAGGGAGGGGCATCCAGTCGTTTACTTGTTCTAGGCACTGACAGAGTGAGTCCAGCGGACGACAGCCACTAGGTGACAGGGCTAGGTAGATCTGGGTGTCATCAGCATAGCTATGATAGGTGATGTTGTTATTAAGTATGACCTGATCCAGGGAGAGCATGTAGAGATGAAAGAGCAAGTCACCCACAAATCAACGTTTTTTGCTGATAAACTAAATAAACGAGTGTCTAATCGTGCTGTAGACACGTGTCGTCAGTAATTTGGCACTTCAGTGCATCGTAGGTAAAATTTAAATATTCTGCCTACAACTGGCAGTGTTGTGCCGTTGTCAGGTAAACTCTGCGCTGTATTTGAATTTAAATCTGCCATCGCTATTGGCTAAGAGGTATGCTATGATGTAAACTGGTACATTATGATGTCACAATGCTGTCGTGAGCCTGTGTGTGTGTATTTGTTAGCAGCTCCGCCCCCTCAGTCTGCCAGGCAACAGCATTTGTTGCATTTTTCAAACATGAAGTGCGAGTGGAGTTACACTCTGTAGGGGGTGACTTGTTCTTTAAAGAGTAGTGGTCCTAGAATTGAGCCTTCGGGGACCCCACATGTCATGGTGATCCACTTTGATTGGTAGTCCCTGGGGCTGCACATTATATCGAAAAATTATCGTCATTGCGATAACAGGACGTGCGATAGGCCCATCACAAAGCACGTCAAAAACGGCGATAAATGTTTGGTTCAAACATTTCCATCCGTGTCATACATCAGCTTTTTGTAAACCAGCTCTGTTTTTTCACTGAAGTATTATTTGACCAATCAAATGTAGCCCTTCTGATATGCGGCCAATCAGATGGGTCCATTCACATAATACGCCCGCCCCCTACGTAGACCCTTAGGATGGAAAGCAACACCCGAACTGCGGCGCCGTTCTCTTGTTCGTCATGCTGGCTCAGATTAACGAACGCACTTTGTGCTGATGTTTCTGGATTCAGCGCTGCTTTCAAACGTGAACGTGACTCCGCTCGGTGTCGTTAAGCAGCTGATAATAACCGGGCTGACTCCGACACGTGCCGGTGAACCAACCCACCGTTAGCCCCAGGCTCCGGTTAGCTTCCAGCTAAAAGGCTACAGCACTCTCCTCCCAGTCCCACCCTGCTAAAGAGGACCTGGAAAAGGTCCCCCACACATCAAAGTGATTTTTCATTTATGAGCTTTTATAACCTTGTTAATCAGGATAGTTGGTTTGCTGCTGCACATAAACTGTCAGTCAGAAGCTCTGCTAGCCGGTTATCTTAAGAGGAGCTAGTTCAATTTGTTAGCTTGTTATCAGAATCATAGTTGCAGTTTCATCATCTGAGCTGCTTTTTAAGATCTAGGTAAACTTGTTCAATTTGGGGTTAAAAACAAACGTTTTCACATATTTTCCATGTAGTTTTTTGCCAGTTCCTCTTCTGAAAGGTAGACAATTGTTTTTCTCTTTCCCTCAGAAAATCTTAATATTCTCCTAGTTTGGCCCAGCACAGTTCACTTCCCAATAGCAGCAACAGCCTTATATCATAACCACATAAGTGGAGAAAATGCTCAGTAGTAGGGCTGCAACAAACGATAATTTGGATAATCGATTAATCGGATGGGGTCTCGACACGATTAATCGATTAATCGCATTACATGGGGAAATTTTTAAAAACTGCTAGGGAAACGTTATTTCTCTCCTTCCTTCACTTTATTTAACACAACATTATTAGAAAACAGTTCAATAGCAGAAAAACAACATGCCATCACCTAAATTGTCTTATAAGGTGTATAGACAGAGACCCTAAGCTACATCTATCTGTGACCTAAAATGCTTGGTCCAAGTTAAACAGCTTAAGGGCAATTCTCATGTTTTGTTTGATCTCATCTGTTGACATTTATTTTAAATGTAATTAAACATAGGCTGTGAATTAATCAAAATTGATCACTATTTCCAAAAATGACTGAAAAAATACCAAATAAAACAAAAGTAAATGAATGCCATCCTCCTTGCGATGATGCCCTGGGCAACTGCCATAAAGTCACATCAAGAAATGCTGCTGATCATTCCAATGATCCCAAATAGACTCACATTAGGCCACATGAAAGCAACTGAACCCAAAAATATATTAACCAGTATATAACTGCACTCTCACACAACACGCCTGCAGCAACAGTTAGGACTCCTCCCTCCCTTTTAAAAGCGTTTTTGCTTCTGAGGACATTGTGGTTGTAAAACCACATGCTAGTAGTCTGGCCCCGGTGTGATCAACCAGTTTCTACGGGAATGTGACGGCAGAACCAGGGCCAGATTAACACTTTGTTGTACCCTGGGCAACAATATTCAAGGGCTCCATCATCACGACCCAAGGATCACCATAATGTGGTCACATACAGAATATTTTACTGTAATATGCAGTAAATATACTCAATACTTGAATGCCTGACATCACGTAACCCGTTCAGGGTGACTTTTGACCCACCTCGTGTAGACTGACCAATGAGGAGAGAGTCTTAACTTGAGGCCCTCTCTTCATTGGTCAGTCTGCATGAGACTGACTCTCAACTGACGTTCAGTCGTAGGCAGCAAAGCGTCTCTGTGCAGCGCAAAAGCCCGGGTGGACAGTTTGTTTAATAGGGTGATCATATTTCCATTTCCAAACAAGAGGACAGGGGATCTGTGCCTATGACGTCACACTATGGCAACGCCACACAAACCATGTTGGGACCCATTTTTTGTAAGAACTAAATTAATATCAGATTCTGCCAATAAAAGGGCTCTAAAACAATTCATATGTAAATATTTTGCATATTTAATGCAAA